AAAAGAAGCAGCATCAGGGAAATTTAAGCTAGGATGGGGGTAGAGACGAAGAGAAGCCAATGTGTGTTTGGGTGCGCGCGTACCTTAACCTCAGCGCTCCGTTTTCTCAAGGAAGTCTGCCCAAGTCAGCAACAATCAAACGAGCCATAACGTGCAGCCCGAGGAGGGTGCGGAAGGATGGGGAGGGGGGGCATAAGGGAGAAAGAGTTTAAGAGTAAGAGGAAAGGTGTGTGTGTGTATACATATATAACATTTAAACGGTCAGGCCTGATTGGGAAAGGCTGTCTCAAGTCAGTGAGCTGAATAGTTATGTGCACGCACAAGACAAATCACGCGTGTGAACAGGCTAGTCATGCGTAAATGGCAGAAATGAGTCGTGTCACACCCCTGAGTTATGTGACGCATAGCAGGCCAAAGTTACCAAAAGATACAAATTTCGAATAGGGTTAGGGTAAGTTTAGAAAAGAAGGCAGCTCTGGTTAAACTGGGGTTTGAGATGACAACCAGTCTCTTTATGGGGGCACTGTTAATGTAGAGGATAGTCTAAGTAGACGCGTATGGTACAACGGAGCAGACAAAAGTGCAACGGTTATTCAGTAACGGGGACGTAATTTGTCGTCAACGTTCTGTGATCGAAAAGAAAGTCAATCACTGTTTTTGTTGCTATTTTAAAATGAGAGACAGAAAAATTAAATGATAATGATATAGCATGGCCTCATTTATGGCTACAGTACATTGACAGCCGAAATTTTTGTAGTTTGCACTCAATTTTGGGGCTTGGCACAACAGTTTTCCCCCCCCTTCATGCCCTCCCAGAAAATCAGCTACACGGAACAGAAAATCGATGCAGGAAGGCAGCGATTTAAAGAAGGTAGGGGAGTCTGGATCAGGGGGTTGGTCACCTACCTCCTCATCAACGTCCATCGAGGGTGACTGTAGCGGGGACATCACTGATTGGCCCTCAGCTACTTCCTTCCAGAGTTTGATGACCCATCTGATGGCAAGAGGAAACAAGTTTAAATTGCTTAGCAGAAGGATATATGCAGGCAGACAACCAGATGGTCAGTTCGCCTTATCATCGAGAGCAGTGTAATTACAATGACAACTAACAATTTTAATTTTATCACAGATGTTGCAAGCAGTACCCATCAAACTGCCAGTCCGGCCAAGGTTTGGACGAATTAACAGTGAAAACCACACATCCGCAACCCGTACATCAGCTAATACTTATTCTAAAAGCATAAACAAGAGTTTAAAATGGAGGAATGTCATACCGCCTGTGCTTATGGTGTGGACAACAGTCAGGGGGATGAGGAGGAGAAAGAAATTTGATATTCGAAGAACTAGGGGGGGCATATCTCTAATCAGAAGCATTGGCTAGCGGGTAATCACTTCTTGACCGTCTTAGTCGTGTTACAGGGTGTTCCATTTGGCATACGCCATTCCATGTGATGAATGCCTGTTTCCTTACTCATTCTGAATTTTTTTGGGGAGTCCGCCTCTGTTTCCTGCTTTAACAACCTGTAAAACGTTGCAATATTTTTATCTGTATAGGAACGTTTGGTATGTTTTTCTATTACTCGATTTATATTATTCTGTTTTGCTAACACTTCCGGTCATGGGGGCGATAATTTCGTTGGGACACTTCTACCTTACGCACAGGTTCGAACTCCATTACCGAGGGTATTAGCATCAGTAAATCCGTTATCTTTGTATTCCTTGGACATACCCCGCCCGGATTGATCGATTTCCTAGATTGGTTTCTCATCAAACGAGCCTCGAATTTGAACATGTACTTTTTAGAAATGGTTCTTAGCTTACTACCTTACCCCGGGGTTCTTCGGGGTGATAACTGCACAACTGACGAACACCCCACGCAGGGCGCCGGTTTCAGGCTTAACTATTTTTTTAACTGCCGTCGAACCTTTTCTATCACAAACTCACTACTGCCAAACTAAATTGACGGTTCAGCTCCATGCACGAAACGCAGTTGCAGAGACGGGTGTGACAGTGAGGGTTGTGCAAGGGGCATGTGGTTATGGAAAGAGACGAGGTCCAGGAAGCGACTGCTGGAACAGTAAGTCTAGCGGCCAGACGTTTCGGATTCTAACCCGAACCCATCATCAGGGAGGACAGTCGCAGATATCCATTGCACCACCAACATCGGTGAGAGAAGCTCATAGATTAACGCGTGTGTTAACCCCTGGCACGACAATCCACGCTTCAGTCAACAGCTGCCTATTATAGTAGCCATAGAGATGCCTAGCCTTTTTCCTGCCCAGGCGTCTGTTGGGGTGGCTTGGAATTCGGAAACACTAGGTTGATAAAGTCAAGCTTCAGTTTTTCGAGCCGCTGATTTGATTTCTGCAGTCTGACTTTGTGCCCCACACTTCTGCCTCCATTTGAGCTGGACTGGTGGTTCTCATGTTTGTGCGCCGCAGATTAAAAAAACCTTTAGGCTTAAATGAGTGAATTTTAAAATCCCCCCGAATGACAATCATCAAATAATACACAAAGCGAGATTCGTCCAGTGTGAAGTATCTCGTAAGGAAACAAGAATAATCGAGCTGATCACACTTACTTTGTCAGATCAGCCTGTCGTTCGTGGTCTGGCAGCCCCACGAGGATTTTCAGGCGAGGCAAGAGGCAGTTACTGCGGGAGGATAAAAAGAACATATAATAAACAGTACACATAAGACCTACAAGTTAGTTTTAAAAAACGAGGACGGTTGATGTGAAGATGACTGGTGTTTCCCCGCCCCTTTTCTGGTTTCTAAATATCTGGGGTGGATGTGGCCTGAGCGTCTGCAGAAGTTGATCGAAACATTTTTTTGAAGTAGACTACTAAACCCCGATCCGGCTTCTGAGGGAAACCACTTTGTTCAGGGCTCACAGTAGCAGTGGATCCTCTAGCTCGTCAGCACTAGCTTACTTATGGGGCGTGCGAGGGGCGTTATGGAACATTCTGACCTGCACGCTGATTGGCCGTTTCCCACGCTACGATGCCCTGGCGGAAGTTCCCGAATATTTGGGCCGCAAGCGTGAGCAGAAGGGGTCAGTGCGCGCTGATAGGCTGTCTGGTTGCCGGCGAGGATGACTCGG